TTGATTTTTTAAAATTTTGCTAGATGAGGCAGTCACACTGACTTAGGATTGACATCTAGGTTTTTGGAAACGCCTTCACTCGGAGACTGCCTGAGCGAAGTTGGTTAGCCAAACTGAATGTATTTCTAGCTGGGCCTTACCTTCGAGGTCATGCGCTGCTTTTACCAAAAATCACTGTAACTAAATCGTGAAAATTTTGCTGGTATGCACGTAACATGTATACCCTTATCAGACTAGGTGGCATTATAAGTGTACTGGGCTTCATATATATTTTGCCCGGCATCACTAGAAAAAAATAACAATCAAAAAAGAAATAAAACAAGAAAAATTAAAAGAAAAAAAGATAAAAATAAGAAAAAAGAAAAAGTGTTCCAGCAACCGACAGCTGACCCCCGCCATTAGCAGCAGTTTCAACCAGCCATAATCATCTGCAGCTCGCCATTGGCCACCGCTCAAGCCATCTTCGGCATGTCTCCTGCTTCTACCGTTCCAGTAGTAGCAACAATATGCAACAAACTGTCCTTTTCAGGACAACGCTCTTCAGCGATTACTAAATTGTCCTTCTCAGGACAACGCTCTTCTCAACCTCTACATGAACATGCAGAGATATTTTTATCTAGTGCACTGTAACCTTAATCTTGTTGATGTATATTCTTATCGAAAATAAACTTGGTAATATATTGTTTTACTCAAGTTTTCTTTTTTGTCTTTCGTTATTCAATATCTGCGGGATAATCTACTACCCGTAACACAAGTCAAAAAAAGAATTAGAAGATGAAAAGAACGAGAACAAAAATCAGAAGAATCAGAAGTAAGGCTGGAATATACAAAATTAAATAAAAAATCAAATATCAACTTTATAGATAGTGAGATCAAATCATCAAACTAACAATAAGCGAACGTATAAAATAATTCAGAAGGCCTATAAATATAGGCCCACAAATAATTCAGAAGGCCTATAAATATAGGCCTATAAATACAGATCGTATTGCAAGGAATCCGCAAGGAATTTTACAAATACTTTACACCACACTCCTCCCCAATCTTTTGAACAGGAGTAGAGGTTTATCCCTTGCTTCCTGTTTAGGATTGGGTTTCTGATTTCTTCTAAATTATTTTTTATTCTCTTTCACTCCAAGTTGCCACTTGCGTCTTAGTGGCATTATCGCCTTGCTTGGGAAGAATTGATTAAAATAAATTGAGAGTACATGGGAACGATATAAAAACATACAAAACGCTTTACTAATGAACATAAAAATTGATTAAGGACGGACTTTTGTTATGTACCCTAACTTTTGGGCCTTGTGCTGTGTGAATCTAACCTTAGGAGGAATTATGTGCAAGCACGAAGCTGCGAGTGTTAATATCTATAAAATTTCTATAAAATCCAATAAATTTCGTGTTTCATCACAAAAATAAGTTCTAATTTGTAACCAGATCAAGAAAAAATCTTCAAAGATCCCAGCTAGTCACGTGATACAGAATGTACTCTAATGTGTGTGCGTGTAGTGGTGGGGGATATGTACATGCGTATTTGTCGAAGATTTCAAAACTAAACGAAGAAACACGAATCAATTCGGTTACTGAGACTTTTTGATGAGAGAAAAAGCCGGCAAAATAGCGGCGTCTATAGTTTTGAACGCGATTATATGGAGAAACGCAGGACACAAAATAAAGAAAAGAATCGCCTTATCACATTAAGTTCTTCTTATTATTCTTGCGCAGAAAGTGTCATTTTCACACATAAAATTCGAGCCCTGAATTAAATCCGCCGCTGCTGCTGCTACTTCAATTCGTGATTGGTCGTAAGTCTGTCGACTTAAGTGGCCCAGTTTCAATCTAATTACCAGCTCAAAAATGACACAAATATCTCGAAATCTGTTTGAACCGATCAACATATTTTAATTTGACACAGCGTTTAATTCTTTGGTGGTATTTTCTCTCTCATCGACTAAAAAGCTATTTTCTATTTGTTTTCCTTTTTGAATTAACTGAAAATCTTTACTTATACTGAATTGAGATCCCCATGCTCGCATGCAAGCAATCAATTTAATGAAAGGATTTTTTGAAATTAGAATAATTAAAGTAAGCATATCCTCGATTCATTCCAGATAAGTCAGCTGATTTTAATTCAGTAAGAATAAAAGACTTTCAGTCATTCAAAACCAAGAAAAGAAACGAAAAAAATTAACAGAAAATAAATAATAATTCTTTAGCCGATGAGGGAAAAATACGAACAAGTAATTAAACGCTATGTTGGATTAAGAAATGTTAGGTTTTTTTTAAAAAAAAAAACAACATTTGTCTAATTTTTCAGCTGGTGATTATTTTGAAACTGGGCCGCTTAATCCGACAGTTTCATGGATCAGGAAGCAAACATTTTGTCATTAGATTCCGTAAATATCCAGTTCCATTTTGGTAATATTTGAGGAAATTACAGTTATGGGATATATTCTGTTAATTCAACACAAATAATGGTAAGTTACTTATTGCAAATATTAATTCACCCACAAGAAATTATAAATTCTAAAGTTTGTTTTTTTTATTAAATTTTTGCCACTCTTTTGAAATTATAAATTTGAAAATCCAAATTTGTTTAGCTTGCCTCGCAACCACTCCAACCCTCAGAATGAAAAATTACCAGACATCAGGGAGTTATACATAATTCGTAAGTGCGGATGATATTCGAGGCATTTACAAGGATTTTTTTACAATTAAAAAGAAATTAAAAAAGAAAGAAAAATAAAATTTGTTTTTGGCTTGTTTATCGAGTTGAGCGCGAACGTAGACCCCCACATTTAGAAATAACGCACCCGAGTCGCTTACATTTAGGGCGATTGCAAAGGTCAAACTAATTGGAGTGCAATGGAAGGGCCTCATTCTGGGAGATTTTAGTGTGAAATTTAGTAAATAGAAATTTTTATTTTGGGGTTAATTAACCCAGTTACGAGGTACATTAATGCCATATGAAAATATTCGATAGCTTTGTGCAAACCGTTTCTTAAAAGGGAAGAACACTCGTACAATCACCAAAGTTGAGCAAGGTCAGTACCTACATGGTTGACTGCTTAGTGATACCAGTTGTTGTAAGTTTGGATGTGCGGGTGGTATAATGGATAGTGCCTCTAGATTGCAAATCGGAGAGCCGCATTCCTTATATTCACTTACGCATAAATATCATTGGCAAACGGATGAAGTCACTTCTACCTCCGTCTATGCGTTAATTAGTAGAATTTGCATCGGTAATAATCAAGATTATCTAAAAAAAGATCTGGCTTTAAATAACCTACAAAAAGGCTGATGAGCCACAAAGAATAAATAAATCGATTAAAATGAAAGACAGCAAATTGACGCAAAGAACAAATTTCAACTTAGATATTTAAGTTATAAAAATATAACTAGAAACAGTCAAGGATTACTATGGAGGGAACAGGTTTTTACTGTTACTACCTACACACACACACACATATATATATATATATATATATATATATATATATATATATATGTGTGTGTGTGTGTGTGTGTGTGTGTCTTTCACTTGTAACCTAGTAAGATTGTTTTGACTAAGTACCGAATTTTTATATCAACCAGCGTCATATAACCTTAATTAGACTTTTTACTCAATATTCTCATCTTTATCCATATACAAGGGTCGTTCAAAAAGTTCTAAGCCTCACCAAGAAGGAGTCGGAGAAACAAGACAGGATCTCACTATTTTTCAATATAATCCCCCACCCTGACGTCAATGCTCTTGATCCAACGTTGTTCAAGCATTGCAATCCTATCACAGAAGAAGTTGACGTCCTGGTCCTCCGAAAACTACTCCAAAGCCCATATAATCTCATTATTGTTTCCAAAATCGCGACCAAGCAGGTGGGATTTGAGTTTCGGAAACAGGAAGAAGTAAGATGGAGCTAAATCTGGTGAGTAAGCGGGATGGAGTAGCATTTCAAAGCCACAGTTGACTGCTTCAGCGACTGCATCCCGGGAAATGTGAACGGATGCGTTATCCTAGAGCAAGAGCACATCTACCCTCAGCTTCTCTCTGCGTTTCGATTTAATTGCTTCCTTCAGTTAATTATAATTATAATGCATATTACTGTTCAATAATAGTTTTTTCCTTTTTTAGGTAGTATATCATAATTATGCCTTCAGAAATCAAAAAAACAGAAGCCATCATCTTTGCCAACAGACGCTGCCTGTGTGAACGTCTTTGTAGATGGAGAACCAGAGTGTTTCTAGTGTTTGCTTTGAATCTTTGAATGGGGTTCAAAGTGTCGAACTCAGCATTCCAAGATTTGTTCACATCTGCTGTGACCAGGTATTGAATATACAACTCGTTGGGTCAAGTCACTTTTTGGATTACTTCAATCACCGCTTTTATCCTTGAGGAATTAACTGAAATTCGAATGTATATCACCTGAAGAAGACCTGAGCGTACAACGGCCGAAACGTCGTGAGTATCACAATAAAGATAGGGACAACAGTCCGAACGATGTAATTAGTGTAAATAGTAAAACTTTTAGCCAACCTTCATACACAAATAAGCAACGGTCACTCGAATGAATTCTACTTTTTTTTTTCTTTCACGCTAAATGATGTCCAAAATTCTTCTTTCATTCTGTGCGCCTGTATTTCCAGCCATGCGTTTTCTCTCACCAATCTCTCGAGACCTGTAACTGCTTTTAGGAAACGCCTTTTCCTCAATAAATATCGTCATAGTAAGTGCGTTTCGAATAAAACAATTGTTCCCATGTATTTTGTAAATGCTTATGAATGTTTTTAACAAATACTTAGAATGCTAGAACGAAATACTTCATATGTTTTATATTTCACAGAAATTTCCTACTTAACCCTGTGAGAAAATATGCAGAATACTGTATAAGAATTACGTAGCCGATTATTAGCGACGGTTCGGTAATGTTTTTCTCAAATATTAATATTAATGTTTTCTAAATTAAGTCCTTTCAGGGTGTAGGCTATCCAGAATCCTTGCCTTACGGCCATATCATGTTAAAACACCGGTTCTCATACAATCACAGAAGCTAAGCAACATCGAGCCTGGTCAGTATCTAGATGAGTGACCACTTGGGAATACCTGGTGCTGCACGCTTAGATGTGCAATGGAATGGATAATGGCTTGGAATTGTTAATCGGAGAGCCGAGTTCCAATTCCAATAGGGCTCGCTATACTCACGCGCAAATATCATTTGAAAATGTATGAATTCATCTCTTCTCCCCCACCTATGGGTTAATTAGTAGGATTTGTATCAGTAAATCATTATTATCTACAAACAATTCTTACAATCAAAAAATATTTTCCGGCTTTAAGTAGCCTTCAAAAGGTTGGTAAGCTGTAAAAAAGCATCCAGATTCTTTTCTTTTAAATATATTTGAAATTACCATGACTTCTTTGGAATAATGGTGGAGTAGTTTCACGTTGCCTCATCTACGGTTTTGAATTCAGCGTAGTTCTTCTACTAAACTGGTTGCTACACTGAGCTGTACAAGGCTTGGGAGCCACTCGAGATAGATGGTTACAGAGTAAGCGGTACAGTTTATGCAGATGAGGAAGATAACTCTAGACTCAAACAGCGATCGAGAAAATATCTTCTGGGGAGTCGGTTCCAAAGAGAAGATAAGGAGCTGTTCAAGTGGAACTTACTTCTCACCAACATAATACAGCTAGAATTAGGGGATACGCTACAATGTGCGTAACATCGGTCCTAGACGTGAAAGTTAGAACTAAGGTATGAGTACATTCCATGGAAGTAGCGATACGGCAGTGATAGGCTTGCGACATCTCGTCTGTGAGAGAGGGGTTACAGAGTGAAAAATAATTTATCACTCACAAGGACGCGGAAGACGCTTATTGACTCTATCGAGACTGGAAGTCCACTACTCCATATTAGGGCTGATCTAGCTCTTGTGTAGATAGAGGATAGCAGGAGGTGTTAGGTACAAGGAACAGACAATTTTTCTGTACCTTTAATGATGGATCGTATCTACGAGTTCCACTTGAGGTCTGGGTTGAAATTGAGGCCAAATTGTGGCTAAAAGCACGAGGATTCCATGAAGAAACATCTATTCATCGTGATTGGTAGTAATTCAGGTTACGATCGGTGATAGTGAGAGAAAAGAGATGGATTCAGACTTTTCTTAAAGATATTAGTGTGATGTGAATCTAACAGACTTGACAAGAATTTGAAGTCAGCTCGCTGTTCACACTTATGGCATCAATAACCGTTACGCTACCTTCACACGTGAATTTTTGGGAAAAAACTCAATTATAAGAAAATATATCCTTTCATTTAGCTAAATCCTTAAAGTCGGAAAAATATGCAAATGCGGGAAGTGCTAGAAAAGTAATGCTTCCTTTTTTTTTTCTTCTTCCCGCGCAATAACAGAACAGATGCAGAAAGAACCGTAACAGCGATGAACTTTCTCCCCTAGTAACCACCATTGCATTTCTACAGCCATCCGCAGGTCGAGAGCTGTTCTGGATCACCCGGAATCTGGCCTGTTACACATTAAACAATAATCACTTCTGAAACACACTAGCTAAATCTAACTGTGCTCACATCCAGTATTTGGTTTAACAAACATCAATCAATGTCACAGAGAATGTTTTTTTCACGTAAAGGATTTCATTCATATAAATATGCTTTGTGCGCATGTTGTCTTTGACGTCATTTTCCAAGTTTTTTTTTTTTTTCTGTACCAAGTTATTTTTGTAGACATTCACACCAAACAAGGCGATAAAAGCCACCATGATGCAAAGGATTACTAAGAGTGGAAGAAACAGAGAACAGACAATAAAAATAACAGGTTTTAAGGGGACAGAAGATGACAATTGGCATTGCATTGAAATGTTTCACACAATTCAATGCAACGTCAATCTTAGTTTACAAGAAAGCAAGAAGCCGTTTCATAAGCGAGAAGCGAGGGAGAAGAAACTATTAGCATAGAACTTACGGTTCGCATCTAGCAGTGTACCCTCTGAAATTACGAGACCTCGCTGCGCTTAAATTCGTAAATTTAAGGTACCAAAGAGGAAAGCCCATCAGATCAATTAGCATGAAGATATTCATATTAAATTTGGAGGGAATATTCGTCATGGCGGTGGGCAAGTGATTGTAGCCGAGATACCAGATCAAGACCAATAAAATTGCTGATTCTTCTTTTGTCAAGCATCTCTAGACATTTGTCAAGAATCTCTGAAGCATCAGACCTGATTTTGGCAACAATATTCGATGCACGGACGAACAGTAGACTTAGATTCTGATGATAAAGAATGTTTGTCACGGTATAGTGAACCGACTTTGCTTAGCAAGTTAACAAAATCATGGCATACTGTCAGGAAGGTTGAACCAATGACACAAACGCCTGTATCTGACGCCGTGGTCCAATACAATAACATAGGAGGCATACGTAGTGCCCCTCGTAGCAGCGGGTGGCAGGCCACAAGACGGCTAAGTGATGAAATGTAAAATGTTGATATATCCCATAACAATGTATTAAACTTGCGTGCTTTTTTTTTCTTAACATTAACGATAGATGATTTTGATAGATAAGATTTTTTAAACAAATACAGTATTTAGACACATTCCTTACGGTGTTATATAATTAAGAATAGTAGAAATATGTAATGGACTTGGGTATTCTAAGATTTTAAGATTACAAAGGCGGGAAACAGATGTAGGAAAAGCAGGAAACCAACAAGACAGGGAAATGCTAACATATGATTTTTCTCACCTCTCTCTCTTTCTTTTTCTTTACCTCGTCCTCTTCATCTCCCTATCACTTTCTTCTTTTCTATTTCTCTTCTCTTTCTTATTTTCCTTTCTAGATGGTTCAACGCTCCCCAAAACGTCCCGATCAGAGTCCCTGCTACCGGATGTAGTTTATCGTCATACTCATTGAATTCTATCAGTTTATTGCACTGCTTGAGGAGAAATAAAGATAGATATTCTATATCTGCTTGTGTGATTAAACCCAAACTTCACGGGTGTATAATTCCTTTTGCTGCATGTCGTTGATGTGCGGGCAAACACAGCAACTCATTCGCCATTGAATGCTTGCTACTATGGGCGCTTATTCTGCCACTTGAAATCCCTGACAGGTTGTCGCATGTTCTTTGAGTTTTTTTTGCTGATTCGCTCTTCTTCCGATAACTCAGCACTCAGGAAGCCAATCACCGAAATCTTAAATCTGTAATGACCTCTATATTTTGAACTCTGACAAATTGACGAACTATCATAGAAACAAATGTCCAAAACTTACATGGAGGTGAGTATGAGAATAAATCCTTTAAAAAATTATTACTACCGTATATACTCCCGTATCATGTGACTTTTGACGATCTAATTTTGATGCTAATTTTAAGGGGGTCGCATCATACACGAGATATAAAATTAGCGTAAATACTGCTGGCTCTGGCTACGCCGTTGACTAAACGATATATCCATTTACTGTAGTCAAATTGGCTTCAAATTTAAGTCTTCAAAGGTCGCAAGATACGCGGGTATACGGTATATATATATATATATATATATATATATATATATATATATATATATATATATAATTGAGGGCCCCCAATCTTATAGGAGATATGGCAACAATCACTAGGGTAGAAATTTTAGAGTTCTCATATCAGAAATCTTTTTTTATTATTTCAGTAATATTTTTAAACTTTTATTTTTAAAATAAGTAATATAAATTGTGCTTATTTTCTTCCATTTTCGATGTTAAAAGCAAAAACGAAAAATACGACAAATTTGACTTTTGTTTTTTGAAAATGCCCGCAAGAGATATTACATTGCAATTAAAATAATTTATTTTTATTTTCTTTATAAGTTTACTAAAAAAAATAAACATGCCTAATGACATTCACAGACCAAAAGAGAAAGAATAAAAATATCAGGAATTAATATTGCATCTAAGAGAAAAGAAATGGCCTGAAAAGCAAATGGCGTTTTGTCTTTTAGAGTAATAAAAATGATTGTAAAATAAAAACGCTCTGATTAATAAAGTTTTTATTTTGGCGCTGGTGACGGGGGCTGGGGAGAATAAACCGAACGAACCTTTTGGCTAACCTAATACAGCTGAAATATAAGCCGAAATGCAGTGAAAAAAAAAATAAAAAGGATAAAAAAAATATTAAAAGTCACACTTCAAACAGAGCGAACATTTATGAGAATGAATATAAATATTTAATGAGTGTTCTATGTAAACATTGTTTTCTAAGCAAGTAATAGCACACTGTTGCAATGAATTCCCATGCTTTGCTCTTTCAATATCCCTTTGCAAATAGTTAAAATAACGAAAAAGTAATTAGGGTTGTGTAAAATGCATAAATATACGCCTTATTCGGGAATAATACGACCTCTCCCTTTTTTAACCAAAAGAATGCATGAAAATATTGTACATATTGCGAAGTGACGCCATTGTACGGTACAGGCGAATTAATCGGCATCCCTGACCCCCGCCAGACAATAAATACTTTACACAAAAAAAGTAATACAAATGTTACTTTAGTGTAAAAGGAACATTTCAGTTTTGTGATTAGAATCGAACACAAAATAGAAGTTCGTATCTTGAGCCACTGCAATGGTTAATGAAATGATTTTCTCACATATGATCATGACGCAGCTAATAAAAATCTTTTTAAAAGCAGATTTCCCATGATTTCAGGCACATTTCTCCACGATCTGGTATTTAGGTGTGAGTACTACACAAACTTGAATTTAAACGCCGAACATACGATGGAATTTACGTATGAAACAGAAACAAACAGCGCATTATATTTCCTCGATATCATATTAAACCATACTGATAATGACCTAAAGCTAAGGGTCTATCAGAAATCTACTAATGCAAAAGATCTCAAATTTCTATTCTCACCATCACAACAAAATATAATCTTGGATAGTAATCAGATTCTGTTTAAGGGCACTGAAAATTTGCAGCCCTCAATATTTAGATGGCAACGAAAAGTACATTAAAATACTTTATACTCCTCCAATTGCCTAATTATTTTAGATTTAATGCGAAATAGAAAGCATGCCATATTGATAAAATAAAAGAATGAATGATATAAATAATCTTA